TGGACCAAAAGCCAGGCCATGGGAAGAGCTGCTTAGGGAGCCCAGGACACTGCCTCAGGCACTTTGAGGGTCCAGGGCTCCCCTCGGCAACCCAGGCTCCTTAGACAACTCTTACCACAGACCAGCTCTGGCTTCTGGCCTGGCTAGGGGTGGAGCCTCAGGGGGAAGAGGAGGAGCAAGGGGCGGAGCCATGGAGGGGGCAGGGCTCCTGCATGCATTCTGGTTTTGCATTTTGAGAAGGTGGTCATCGTCCTTCCACTAGGGACTTTGGAAGTTTCACAGTTGCTAAGAGTTCAAAACATGTTTTCCGTTGTTTAGAGAGCAGCCAATCCAAGGGCAATGAAGGCTGTTTAGATAGACAGATGTACCATCTGAGAAATGGGAGGGTAGAATCATACAATCATAGAATCCTAGGACTGGAGGACACCTCAGGAGGTCGTCGAGTCCAGCCCCCTGCCCAAAGTAGGACCAACCCTAACTCAATCATCCCAGCCAGGGCTTTGTCAAGCCAGGACTTAAAAACCTCTGGGGATGGAGATTCCACCACCTCCCTATGGAACCCATCCCAGCGCTTCCCCACCCTCCTAGGGAAATAATTTTTCCTAATATCCAACTTAGATCCACTGCAACTTGAGACCATTGCTCCTTGTTCTCCCCTCTGTCACCACTGCGAACAGCCTCTCTCCATCCTCTTTGGAACTCCCCTTTAGGTAGTTAAAGGTTGCTATCAAATCCCCCCTCACTCTTCTCTTCTCTTCTCTCCTTCTAGGTCATATGCTCCAGTCCTCTAATCATTTTGATTGCCCTCCACTGGACCCTCTCCAATGCATCCACATGCTTTCTGTAGTGGGGAACCCAGAACTGGATGCAATACTCCAGGTGCGGAGACACTATATAAAAAAGTCATTACCAGGGATTCAAAACTGACACAATGTTCAAGCTCTTCTGGATGAGCCTCACTCCCCCAAACCCAGTGTTCAAAGGGGAGTTTTGTTTATTTAAGGCAGGTAGAAGAATGTTCCCTATGGGATGATGATGTGGAGCTGGCTGACTAGTGGAACTGAAGGAAAACTACTCACCAATAAAGAGGAAACATGTATAATTTCTATCAGAGTTCTTGTCACGGGCCCATCATCATGATTTCTGAGTGCCTACCAAAATTGAGTTAAGCAACATGTTGTGGACATATGCCGGGTGGCCACCTGGTCCTCAGTCCATACCTTCACCAAGCATTATGCCATCACGCAACAAGCTAGTCGGGACGCAGCAGTAGGTCAGGCGGTGCTGCAGTCCATTTCGCTCTAGGTTCCGACCTCGCCTCCTTAGGGGTTTGCATGGAATCACCTAGATGGAATGGACATAAGCAAGCACTCGAAGAGGAAAAGATGGTTACTGACCTCGTAACTGTTGTTCTTCGAGATGTGTTGCTTATGTCCATTCCGATCCCGCCCACCTCCACCTTCGTCAGAATCTCCGGCAAGAAGGAACTGAGGGGGTGGAGGGGCAGCAGGGGGTTATATGCTAGGATATACCGGCGCCACTCCAGGGGGCTCCCCTGATGGCCCAACGGGTACTACTAAGGGCAAAAATCTTCCGGAACTTGTGCACGGGGCACGCACGCACCTAGACGGAATGGACATAAGCAACACATCTCGAAGAACAACAGCTATGAGGTAAGTAACCATCTTTTGCATGAGGCTCAGCCACCCTGAGGTTCTCCCTTGCTTGCTGCCTGCACCATCCTTGCACCAACCCTCCAGGCAGGGAGCCTGGCTCAGGGACCACAGGCTGGGGAGGTCACTTCGCTCCCCACACTTTGTGTTGCCCATTTAGAGGTCCCTGCTCTTTGGAGGATGAATCATTCTCTTCCCAGCTGCTTTCCCTGCCTGCCTGCCATACCAGTCCCAGAGTAGGTGCTGCCCCCACCCCCAGTAACACATATGGGAGGGCCGGCCCGGCAAGCCTTCAAAGCCCTGTCTGGGGAGAGACGAAAGGCCGGTTAGACTCCTGGCTGAGGATGAAAGGAAACAATCCCCTTCACGGCTGGAATGAGTTGCCGGTGCTTTGGAGTCGGGTTTGGGGCCCATTTCCTGAGCGTCAGAGCAGGATCTTTCATGTGCTGTGGGACTTTACGAAGTAGTCCCGGATTGCTGGGCTGTAGCAAGAAGTGCCTGACTCAGCCATGTTACTCCAGAGCCAGCATCCCTGGCCTGGACACTTTACGTGGAGATGGCAGCCAGCCAGCCTATCAGCCCCCTGACACTCACACTTTGCACCCAGCATGTCTTAAAACCCACCCAGCCAATGGCCCCCCAACCACTGCAATTAAAAACCCGGGGCTGGCCCATGGCAGCTGATTGAAGCTCGTAATGCTCGGGCTACGGGGCTGTTTAATTGCTGTGTATATGTGCAGACCCAGTGAAGTACGATTACTCCACAATTAAGCAGCCCTGCAGCCCGTGCTGGCTGCAGGGTTTTAGTGGCGGTGATGACATACCCTGAGCGGCTGAGGCTTCTGTCATTTACCTCAATGCAATGGCACTGTCCTCAGGGGAGTCACTCCAGATTTCACTGCAAGGAGAGGAAAATTGAGCCCCTGGTCCCAAGCCTGAACTCTGCACTGGGAAGGGCTTTAGGGACAATGAGGCCCAAGGCAAAGCCCTTGGATAACTGCCACCACTGTAGTCCCAATCCCTCCCCCCCAAAATTTGCTGCAGTTTCATTCTCCAAGTGGGGAGCCCATGCTGGGGAGCTGCAGGCTGGGGGATGTGAGCCACAGATTTTACTCATTTTCTCAGAGGAAATTCTATTCTGATTAAAGCCTGTTTGATCTCAGAGAGGGGGGCAGGGTGGGGAGAGGTATTGAGTTTCTCTCCAATTGTTGGGCTTTATTGGGCTAATGTATCAGCTAAAAGCTTCCAAATAAGATTTAAAAGGGGAAAGGCAGGGGCATGAGCTGCTACATCGGGAGGAGACTGAAACAGACTTATTAAAAAGGGAATGCCTCAGAGCGCATAGCAGGAAGGACATACAGAAATCTTCTCAGCACGTACTTATATGCATGTGCATTTTACATACATTTGCACACCCATGACCCGGCCACCTCATACACTTACTCACATGTGCTCTCACAAACACACCCCTTGCATGCAGATCATGAGTGTGCACATCACACAACTGAAGCCAGCCAGGGTGATGTGCCCCCCTTCCCCTGGTAAATCTGTCAATGACCATGGAGGTATTTGCCTTTGGGTTTGTTTGCCTGCTAGAATTATCTGGGCAGATCCCACCCAATCAATTCTCTGCCACTGCTGAAGACTCACAGATTAGTGGCACCATCCTGTACTCTGCTTTTGGCTCACAACAGTTTAGTTCCCCAAGCCCGAAATGCTTTAGTCTAAGGGTCTGTCTACACTTGTACTTGATCAACAAAAGTTTTGTTGTTCCCGGATGCTTTAAACCCCCCCATGAATGACAAAGTTTTGCTGCAGCAAGTGAAAATGTGAACACTACTTTGTCAGCAGGAGTGATCTGCAGTCAACAAAGGGAAACACCCTCATTGGGGGTAGAAGTATTTTGTTAGCAAAAGTGCCAACTAACAGCTTTCACACATGCTCTTAGCGACAGGTCTGTGTCAACACAGACTTGTCGCTAAAACCTGCACAGTGGAGACATAGCCTGACTAAATCTTTGTTTTCAATACAGGGGTAACTAGGTGGAAGATAAAGGTTAGGCTAGGTAGGGGTGGGCAATCATTTTTGATGGGGAGCCACTCCAAGATTTTGGTAAGTGGTCAAGGGCCGCACTTTTCTGTGGAGGGGGTGCGGGGTTCCGGTGTTTGGGTAGAGGAGGGGGTTGTGACCTGGCTCAGGGGGTTGGGGTGTAAGTTCAGGGAGGGAGTGTGGGTGCAGGAGAGGATTCTAGCTTGGGGGAGGAATGAGGAGGGCGTGCAGGGTCTGGAAGGGAGGTTGTCACCTGGGGCAGGGAGTGACCCAGAGGAGGGAGTTGGGGTGCAGGAGGGTTTGGGGTGCCAAAGGCAGGTGCTGGCGGGGAGAAATTTACCTAAGTGTTTCCTGGCCAGCAGGCTGCAGCACCCCCAAGGCAGGCTGGGCTGCCTGCCTGATGCCTCCCCAGACCGCTTGAGAATGCAGGCTGCTCCCTCCACATGGCTCTCAGCTCCTGGTGGGGGAAGAGGCTTGCACTGCCCCAGTCTCGCTGGCCAATCTCTCAGCTCCGATTGGCTGGCTGTTTTCAGCCAATATGAGCTGAGAGATTGGCTGAGGTCAGTTCTTATTGCCCCATTGTTTCCAGCCAATAGGAGCTGAGGATTGTGGTGGTGGGAGGAGGGGGGGATTCACATGAAGCCTCCCCCTCCAAGCAGAGCACAGAGCCACAGGGACTGCTTTAAACCACGGCAGCTGCGTGTTCCTGAGGGTCCCAGCAGGGCCGAATCCGCCCCCGTGGCTGTATTTTGCCCAGCCCTGGCCTGGATGATCTAGTGGTCCCTTCTGTTCTGGCCCTAAACTCTCTCCATTTAGCTTAGACTTTCTAAAGGTCTTTCTCAATGTCGTACACAAAGGCTACTAAAGAAGCCAAACCATCACGGGGTGAGAGGCAGAGTATCGCCATAGATCAGATTCTGTCTAAGGCCAGGTCTACACTAGGGGAGAAGGTTGACCTAAGATATGCAACTCCATCCATGAGAAGAGTGTAGCTGGAGATGACGTACCTTACGTCGAATTTCTGCGGTGTCCCCACTGCGAATGATCAATGGGAGAAACTATCCCGTTGACTTCCCTCACTTTCGACCTAGTGCAGTACTGGGGTCAATGGGGGTGCCATCAGCAGTCGATTTAGCAGGTCCTTATGGGTGTGTCTAGACTATATGGCTCTGTTGACGGAGCCATGTAGATGAGTATACTTGGCAAAGGGAAATGAAGCGGCAATTTAAATAATCACCGCTTCATTTACATCAAAATGGCCACTGTGCTGTGCCGATCAGCTGATTGTCGGCACAGCACGGTAGTCTAGATGGGGATCAGCTGACCCCACATCCCTTTGTAGTCAGATCCTGTGAAGTGACCCCCCCTTACAAAATTATTGCCCACCCCGCGCTAAATCGAATCCAGGGAGATTAATCCCTGGATCATCAAACTTGGAGTAGGTGAATACAAGTTCTTAAAGACAGAAATCAATGTTGAAACATACTGTGAATTTGTATTCACAGATTAACTTTAGGGGATTAAGTCTCTGTGTGGCATCCCACGGTATTCATGGTATCTATTAACGACTAGGACAAAGGGAGGAGCAATATTTGCAATGTTACAAAATTACTGGTGTGGGACAAGTACAGGGAAGAGTATCAGGAGGGCTTGGACAAAGGGCAAATCAACAGCAGATAAAAGTCAGTGTTGACAAATGCAAAATAATGCACATTGGAAACAGTAACTTAAACGGTTCATAAACTGGCCTTGGTTCCAATCTGCTGCAGTAAACAGCGCAAGAACTTGGCCATCGCTGCGGACAGCTCCATGGAGCTCTGTTCAATGTGTAGCCATGGTCAGCAAACCAGACAAGATGTTAGGGTGCAGAGGGAAAGGGGGAGTACAATGCAGGAGATATAACCATGCTGCTATGTAAATCAAGGGACGCCCTCACCCAGACCTGTATACGGTTCTGGTAACCCCTTCTCCAGTGACGTAAATCCAGAGACTTTTATCATAGAGACTTTTATCATAGAGAGCCTTTATCTACACTACAGGGGGGGGGGGTTGTGCAAAAAGAAGCAGAGTAGGCACTTGTATTTTGCACAAAACCCCACGGAGAGGCATAAGGATATTGCGCAAAAGGGTTTTTTGGCACTTGTATTTTGCACAAAACCCCATGGAGAGGCATAAGGATAGGTCTGCAAAAAATGAAAGTGGCTATACTGCTTCTTTTTGCGCAAAAAACCCTTGCACAAAAAGCATTGGCAGAAAATATGCTAATGACATCACGACTCATGCTAATGAGTCCGTCATTAGCATACTTTCTGCTGCAAAAACTTGTAGCGTAGACATAGCCTGAGACGCAAGTGAGAGGGGAACTGTCTTCTATTATTTCATTCCTCCTCTGCCGGAGGAAAAGGAGCTTTGTGCATTCTTCATACATTCCTTACAGGATCACACCTCCTGACTCCATCACTGGTTTCTCCTCCAAAGGAAAACATCCCATAACACCCCGAATTTGGGCCCAATTGTGGTAAACCCCACCCCCAACATGGAACTAATGTGCTCTTTGCTGCCACCACATTGCTCATACTGATAGTTAGTCACACTCCGTCTCCCATCCTGTGTCTTACTGCTCTAGATGGTCAGCTCTGTAAGGATATGCTGGCAGAGGGATGCAGATTAGGCTGGGCGAAATTCCTAATGAAGCGGGAATTTAAATATCCTGCGCTTCATTAGCATAAAAATGGCTGCCGCTTTTTTAGGTACGGAGCTTTGTCAGAGAAAAGCGGCAGTCTAGACGTTGATCTATCACGAAAGAAAGCCTTTTCCAAGAGATCCCTTATGCCTCGTAAAACGAGGTATACAGGATCAATCCCTACCTCTGCTCACACCCCCGCACATAAATCCACTGGTTCCATCCTCCATGTGTACACACACGGTTGTAAACAAGCTTTCGCATTCACACTCAAGAGCGAGGTCTCACCACATGTATACCTGCCTGCACACACCCTCCACACACCTCTCTCACACACACCTCTGCATATATACCCTTGTCACACAACTGTGTCTGTGCACATACACACCTAACAAACAGGGCTTGAATACAAATACCACACACACATGCCTGCACACACACACACCTAGCAAACAGAGCTTGAATACAAATACCACACATAGGGCGAAATTCCTAATGAAGCGGGAATTTAAATATCCTGCGCTTCATTAGCATAAAAATGGCTGCCGCTTTTTTAGGTACGGAGCTTTGTCAGAGAAAAGCGGCAGTCTAGACGTTGATCTATCACGAAAGAAAGCCTTTTCCAAGAGATCCCTTATGCCTCGTAAAACGAGGTATACAGGATCAATCCCTACCTCTGCTCACACCCCCGCACATAAATCCACTGGTTCCATCCTCCATGTGTACACACACGGTTGTAAACAAGCTTTCGCATTCACACTCAAGAGCGAGGTCTCACCACATGTATACCTGCCTGCACACACCCTCCACACATCTCTCTCACACACACCTCTGCATATATACCCTTGTCACACAACTGTGTCTGTGCACACACACACCTAGCAAACAGGGCTTGAATACAAATACCACACACACATGCCTGCACACACACACACCTAGCAAACAGAGCTTGAATACAAATACCACACATACATGCCTGCACACACACACACACACACACACACACAACACACCTAGCAAACAGGGCTTGAACACAACACCACACACACATGCCTGCACACACACACACCTAGCAAACAGAGCTTGAATACAAATACCACACATACATGCCTGCACACACACACACACACACACACACACAACACACCTAGCAAACAGGGCTTGAACACAACACCACACACACATGCCTGCACACACACACACCTAGCAAACAGAGCTTGAATACAAATACCACACATACATGCCTGCACACACACACACACACACACAACACACCTAGCAAACAGGGCTTGAACACAAACACCACACACACATGCCTGCACACACTGACACTCCCCTCAACACAGAGAGATCTCCACTCACATACTCACAGGCAGCCATATGGTCCCAGGGAGCATCCCAGGCAGTCACACCCATCCACCTCCCTTCCAAAGCAGAGTTCCCCGGCTGCTGCCAGCTCACAGCTGGCCCTCATTGCTCAGAGCATACTGCTTCCTGGTGGGCCACCACAGTCCTGGGGTTATCGGAGTTTATCAGCCAGGCTGGCAGCAGGGTCCAGCAGGACCAGGGCAGGCAGGACAGGGGGCAGCCCCCAGAACCCAGGCAGTCACACCCATCCACCTCCCTTCCAAAGCAGAGTTCCCCGGCTGCTGCCAGCTCACAGCTGGCCCTCATTGCTCAGAGCATACTGCTTCCTGGTGGGCCACCACAGTCCTGGGGTTATCGGAGTTTATCAGCCAGGCTGGCAGCAGGGTCCAGCAGGACCAGGGCAGGCAGGACAGGGGGCAGCCCCCAGAACTCCAACCCACGACTGATCTCAAGCTCTCTCCAGAGATCCTAGGCCAAGGCCCTCCAGTCCCCAAGCATCTCAGGAGCCCTTAGAATCACACCTGCCTCTAGGGTGATTTCTTCAGGCAGGGAAGAGAGGCTGTCAGAGCCAGGACAGCACTTGCACAGTCTGGCACAGAGCATCCACTCAGCGGGCAGCCCCACAAGTGTGGGGCCAGAGCTCAGCCAGCCTAGGAGAGTGAAGCTTCTTGAAGCTTCTTTTACACACACACACACACACACACACACACACACACACACACACACACACACACCACCTACATAGCACCCAGCTGTGACTGGCACGCTGTCTCTTGCCGTGTCTGACACCGCCTACGTAACACCCAGCTCTGACTGGCATGCTGTCGCTTGCTGTGCCTGGTACCACCGCAGCAGACAGACAGGCATATGGTCACTTGCCATGCTTATTACTGCCACAGCAGACTGACTGGTGCACTGTTGCTTGCTGTGTCTGGTACGCCACAGCAGACTGACTGGTGCACTGTCACACGCCACAGCAGACTGACTGGCGCTCTGGCACTTGCCCTACACTCTGCTTTGGCAAATCATTTTGTGAAGCTGAAGCAAAAGCCAGGGGCCTCCTCAGTGCTCTGAGCGCTGCTTCCTTTCTAGCTACATGTCCCAGGCCTGTTGCTGTTGGAGGGTTACCAATATCATTAACTTGCTTCAAAATGCTCCCAAGTGAGGTGCTGCTTTCTGCTCCTGGGTCAGCTTCTCCTGCACTCAGCCCACACAGGGCACATGACGTGGTCATTTGTAGAGCAGCTGCTCGCCCTCAGTCTGAGCCCTCCTATAGCAGGGCTCCCTAAACTCTTTATCTTGCACCCTCCCACCCCAGGACCTGGGGCTGTAAGCCAGGCTGCAGAGAGGAGTAAGAGGGCTGAGGCTGGGACTACAGCTGCAGGTGAGCATAGGCATGGGGCAGGCAGCCAGGGCCCCACGTGTGGGGCCAGGATCAA